TTTAATACTTTATATATATATAAGTGTACATGTATAGTTTATTTTATAAATTTATTTATTTATTATTTTAATAAATTACTTTAAATTTAATTATATATTTATACTTTTTTATCAAGTAAATAAATGATAATGAACTAAACATATTTTAACACATCTAAGAGTAAAAAAAAAGTGAGCTTATTATATATTTTAACATATGAAAAAAGAATAATATAATATTTTGATGACATTAAGTTAAATTACAAAAAATTATACATTTTAACAAAACAAGAGATAATATAATACATTTTATCTCTCATGCTAACATAATCTACTCTTATTATATTAATAAAACATTTATTTTAGGAATGAGGTTTCTAAAAATCTAGTACCATTTCATGAAACATGCTCTTAAAGCATTACATTTTAAAAATTATAAAATATTTTGATAGATTGGTATAATAATTAACAACTTTGCATCCACACATTATAATATTAGTCAATTTAGTAGAAAAATTGCCACAAGTATGAAAATTGCACAAACCTTGCTTTCCAAATAGTAAAAATGTGATTAGAGTCTAATTTTGCACAATTAAACCATCAATTACCCAAATATATATCTTTATATCATAATCATCAATTTTTTTAGTTTGCACTTTACTTTATACTTTAAGGGTTCTTACAAGAATTATAGGCATTCACATATTCATAATCAATGTAATTAAAGTGAATTTCATTATGCATATATGATATAACACAATTATCATCCATAAGCCACATACAAAACATACAAAACACTAATTTACAATATACAAATTAAAATTAAGATTTCTCTCTCAAACTCTCAAACACATGCACATGCAAGAAATTGGGGTTAATATCTCTACATGTAAATGTGTCTGTTTTAGGTGGTGTAGTTTAGTAGAGGATTGTTATTAGTTAAGTTGGTTTAGCTTTATAAGAGTTTATATGGATTTTCTTGAAAAAGGGGCCATACATCATTTTCAAAAACTTTTAAAGTGAGACTAAAAAGTTTCTTTAGAATCTTTTCTCCCTTTCTCCATTAAGATCCTTTCCTCCTCACTTCTTACAACTAATCCAACTTAGTTGGTGTGGTTGATTTGAAGCCCCAAAGTCAAGAGTCCCCAGTTGAAGTCATATGGAGTTTATTATCTTTTCCTTCCTTCTTTTCATTTTCAGATCATCAAGAGGTAAGGGGAGCTATGACTTGATCTCAACAGATGATTGTGTGGATTTTCGTATTACATGTGTGGTATGAATGCTCATTTGATGCATAATTGTTTTAATGCTAAATTGGTTTGTGAGGGAAGACTTGGTGTTTTTAGTTTCGTGGATATTTTTTAGGTATTTGGGATTTTTGGGAAAAAATATTGATTTTGTATCTAAATTCTTGTTATGAGCTTTTTTGTTGTTGGAATTGATATATTCTTGTTGTGTAGATGCATTTTTATGGTTTAGATTTAAGTTAGGAGCTTGTAGGTAAGCTTGGGATGGAATAAAGAGGTTTGAAAATCCTAAAATTGCAAAAAAACATAAATGGGTTCTATCATGAATCAGTTGAGTGGCTTTGAAATGGTTGAGCAAAATTAGAGATGAGAATTAGGAGTGTCTATGGAAGAAAACAACTAAATGATTTTGAAATGACTAAGTAAAATTGAAGATGCGAATTAAGAGTGTCTTTAAAAGGAATCTGCTAAGCAGTTTTGAAACAACTAAGTGAATTAATGCTTTTCGAATTAACTTTGTTGTCTTCATAAAGGTTGTAACCCTATATGTTATCTTTCCAATGACTTTGAAATAACTTTAAAAGGGGGTCTAGAACTAAAGTTGAGTTTTTTAGTAAGTAAAGGTCAAGCTATCAACATTAGTAAGAACTGTTGTGGTTTTTATAATTTTTAATATAGTAGATAATGGAATTAAAACTTAAGGTATACATAAGAGTTGTAGGTAATTTTTTTGCCTTTCATATGAGATAAAGATGAGCTTGATACGAGTAGTATAACTCTTTGTGTGATATTTTATGTAAAAGTTATCATTGTACAATAATTGATTTTGATAAGTTATATTTGATACATGTACGATGGGAAAATTTGGTGAATATAAGTAGATGTATGATTTCTATTGCATGTTGTATGAAGTGTGAAAACTATAATTCTATGTATGTTGATGGGATATGACATATGTAAGTGTTTGTATGGTGTTGGATGATGATGAGCCTATGTATGTCATGTATATATATATATATATATATATATATATATATGTATGATGTTGTTGATCTCTATATACATTAATTGGATGTTATGTATATAGATAATGTATAATGAGGTGTAGATGTTAAGAATGTAGTATGACATTAAGGCACGTCCACTAATTTAAGACTTGAGGAAAGGAAATTAATTTTGAAAACTGAAGATCTCACTTAGGGAATCTTAGAGTGGTGCTCGGATAGACCACTATTGGAAAACCGTTCTTTAGTAGGTGTGTCTCCTATAATGGGTTTTGAGGTGTGTTAATGTCTCCTTTAGGTCCTTATTAATGGTTGATTAAGGTAGGAGGTTGAGGGCTACAACCTTTCACCAAGTACCTGAAAATGTTACGTGATTCCTTAAGGATAATTAGTGGACGAATTCAATATGTGACTTGGTGATGCATGATAAGGCTTTAGTAAGTCTATACCTAGTTGTACCATTGCTAATGGTGGAATTAGACTTTTGTAGTGTAAGTAACAAATATTGAGAAAGTAGAGGAGGGATTATTATCCCATTTTGTTGTGATTGAGTTAATATTGAGAAAGTAGAGGAGGGATTATTATCCCATTTTGTTGTAATTGAGTTGATACTTTAGATGCAAAAATGGTTGGGTTGATTTGATAGGATTAATTCGATACGGTGAAGTCACTTAAAATGCTTATGTTGTTAAGAGATTTTCACACACACACACATTTATGTATATATACATATATATATACAACATTATTAATAATATAATTAAATGAATAAATTTATAATACAATAATTCAAATTATAAATATTTTTTTTTTTTACATTTTTGTTATACTTAAATGTTTTACATTATTTATTAGCACGAAATCAAGATATAAAAATAAAATTTTTAGTAGCTACATCTTTGCCTACTTTTATCCTTCATCTTCATAGTTGATTTAGGATGAGTATGCATGAATTGTCCCTCAATTTACTTTTTAATTTTAAATTTTAAATTTTAATAATAATAAAGTAAACTATTTTTTATCATGCAAATTAAACAAAAACTTGTATATGTATTTAAAAATATAATTGTTAACTTATTTAAAATTAAATTTATTGACTTATTAAACATTATTAATACAAAATAGACTTTTAAAGAGATAAATTATTATTATTTTTATTAATTATACTATTTCTTTTTAAATTTTATATTATCTTTTAAAATCTTATGAAATCTTTTAAAATTTTATAATATAAATCTATTAAAATCTATTTTACAAAATCTTGATTATAAAATTCTTTTAAAAAAATCTAAAGAAATTATTATATTTCTATAAAGTATTTTAAAAAAATGTCAATAATTATTACATTCCTTAAAAAAAAATTCACAAATTTTTTTCCTAATACAATAATCTTATAAAATTTTAATCCAATGCATTTCTCAAAATCAAAATCCTGAATGTTTTCCACTTTTTGGTAACGGGATTGAGAAGAACTCTAAAGTTTCGCATCTCTCGTTATTACCATGCTTAATTAGTTAATTATATTTGAGTTTTAAGGTAAATAAACATTCTATACAAATATATTTGAATTCAACTATTCAAGGACTTTTTCAACCTTAACACTTTTTCTTAAAATTCTTATTACAGCAAAATTTAATTTATTGATTTTTTTCTTATTTAATAAGAGACGGACTAATAATTAGCGAGACTTACAACAAATTTTGAGATTTTTTTAAAATATTTAAATAAGCAAATTATATATATATATATATATATATATATATATACACATATTTATCAGTATATGAGATCTTTTTATTTTATAAAAATTAATAATAAATTTTATTTTATTGTTCAATGTAAAATCTAAAATATATATATTCTTTTGTGATGTCGTCTTTGATCTATATTGTTATTACTCCCATTAAGATAGTCACATATATTATATACTAATTTATTAATATTTCTTGATCATCGAAGTGTATTTTTAATGAAATTATAATGCTTTTAAAGAGGTATACGATCTTTAATAATTATTATTCTTTAGTTACACATTCATTCTTTGATTTGTTCGTCATAGTTAATAGTTTGAGATTATTTATTTGAGGTACATAGATATTTTTAAGAGATTAACTTTTGTCAATAAATATTCTTTTGTTCATCACATGCTAATGATTTATTCATATCTAATCATATATTGGCACCACCTTATGATATAAAACATAATATATTATTATTTATGATATTCGATCCTATAGATATAACACGTTTCATTTTTCATTTGTGTCTTGCATTTATCTTGCGAAATTATAATGGAACAAATCACATATGCTAGTGTATAAATTTATTTTTAATCTCTCAATTTTTTTTTACTTTTTTAATTTCAAATAATATTATTTAGTCCTTGTACATTATTAACAACATTAATAACAATAACAAATTATTACTAATCGATGATAATATATGAATTTCGTGTGATAAATTCATTAATAATGTTTGTTTCGGTTGAATCACTATAATAAATATTTTTTTTTTAAATTATAAATATTAAAATGATTAATTTTAAATTTGAGAAATAAAAAAAAATTATATGAAGAGACTAAAATCTAACATTCTAACAATATAATTTATTTTAATAATATATATAACATTTAATTTTATCTCAGACAATGATTTCTTGTCTACTAACCTTAGAATTCACCTTAAAAATAGTTAGTTAGATTTCTAAAAGCATCATCTATTGCTGTAACTGTAAATTAAATGCAGGCATCATGGGTTTGTTGAAAGTGTGTCAGATTAGATTACTACGTAACATAACCAAACTGAATAGCGTTTCTCAACTGTCTAACCGTGAAACGCAGTGTAACCTGTTTTATTTGCAGCCAATACAGGTTCATATTACAATGAGAAGCAACCACGTATATTCCAAAGTCAACAACAAAAAAACACCACCTGTGACACCTTTTTATACCTTAAAATATAACATTGCTCTGCTGTCACATGAACCTTGGTATTGCTTCGCAATTCACATGATCCTCACCTGCATCATTCAAATGCAGAACCCGCAAAAGAAAAAAATTTGAAAAAAAAAGAACAATATCCCACGAAGGAGGATATCATCAGCAAAGAAGAAGAGGAATCCATAACCTCCCTCATAACACCACCCTTTGTTTCCTTCTTTTCTATTCTCAAGAAAAAGAAAAAACTTTTCTTTCTGCTTCTGCCAAAGACCCTTTTTTGATCCTCCAAGATGGACATTTCACAGAGAAAGAGAACTTTGCTTAAGGTCATTGTTCTCGGTGATAGTGGGTATGCCAAAAAATTCTTACTTAAATTCTTTACATTCCAAATTTTCCTTCCTGTATGTCATTTTATCTCATGGAAGCTTCTATATTGATAAATGTAATGTTGGTTAATTAAGTGGTTCATTTTTTCTCATTTTGTTTTCAGGGTGGGAAAGACTTCTTTGATAAACCAGTATCCATTTGGCATTTGCATTTTCAGTGTGGAAGGCTAAAAAAAAAGTGAAAGTTTGTTATTTTTTTCTTATAACAGTGGTTCGCTGTGGGTGCATTATTCATTCCAAATCATGAATGCTTTTGAGCTTTTCACTGTTTTCCTTTTTGTTTTATTTTGTTTTTCCAACGAATCTCTGTAATAAAGTCACGACTGGCATATGAGTTGGTAATAATTGTTTTGGAACACGCTAGTTCAGGTCCAGCTGACAAAAAATAATTGGGTGCTTGTTCAACACCAAAAATTAGTAAAGTAAATGAAAACACTTTGCACATTAGTAATATTTTATCGGTTATAATTAGTATATTGATCGAGATTGAGTTAAAATAATAACTCAAATTGGCTCTTTAAGTTTTTTAAATGTTGAATGTGTTTGAAACTAGGCATGCAAAAAGTCATTATAGTATAATATTATGCAACTTTAACTTTGAATTCAGATATGTTGATAAAAAATTCAGCCAACAGTATAAAGCCACAATTGGGGCTGATTTTGTTACAAAGGAGATACAAGTCGATGACAAACTGGTAACCTTGCAGGTAAACAATTTAATTTTCCTGAAAGTACTTTTTCTTTTACATTTAGAATATATTTGAATATGTTTGAATATGTTTAGAAACATTTTAAAGTAAAACTAAAGAGGTTTTTCTAATAAAAAAACTTTCAAAATGCTTCTAAACTTCATCCGAACTGTCTCTTACTCTTACTACATGCATGAGTATATTAGAAAGTATCAATTTCAGTATTTAAAAAAAAAAATATTGGGTGACACAATGAAAATGAAAATATATTATTATTGCAGATTTGGGACACTGCAGGACAGGAAAGGTTCCATAGTCTTGGAGCTGCATTTTATCGAGGTGCAGATTGTTGTGTGCTGGTATTTGATGTAAATATACAGAAAACATTTGATACACTAAACAATTGGCATGATGAGTTTCTTAAGCAGGTATGTTTTACTTCTAGATGCTATCTTTCGAGCCTTATGTCTTCTTTTTGTAGTGGTTAATGTCTTTGTTTGGATTACATTGTCTTTGAGTTGAAGTGTTGGACTCAAACCAAACCAAGCAATATGAATCTTTCTTTTTTAATCCAAACTGTGCAGACATGGTTATATGTTCTGCTTGATCATGTGAAACTGGTTTTAATCTAATCTACATTTTGGTGTTTGATCTCAGGCTGATATGAACGATCCTGAAGCATTTCCCTTTGTGTTACTTGGTAACAAGATTGATGTAGATGGTGGAAACAGTAGAAGGGTATGGAATATATCCCCTCCTTTTGCAATGATTATATTTCTAGACATTAATGTCTAAAAATCATATGACTTTTATATAGTTATTATACAAGTCATCAATATTATAATACATGATAATCTACATTCTAATTAAATTCTATGCATGTCCAAATATTTGAGCCTAGGTTACTGAGAAAAAAGCTAGAGACTGGTGTGCTTCACGGGGAAACATACCATACTATGAGACCTCTGCTAAAGAGGGTTGCAATGTTGAAGAGGCTTTTTTATGTGTGGCTAAAATTGCGCAAGCAAATGAAAACGATCAAGACATGTGAGCAACAACTTTTTGTAGTAGTACTACCTTTTATTTTTCTAGATCACTTAATTAATTATCTTTAAATTCAACATTCCTATTTTTTTTTTTTTTTTTTATGATGACTAGTTTCAAGTAATTCTTGATAAATGCTAGGAACTTATGCTATACATGTCCAAATCTAATTCATGTTAGCCTCTAATATTGTTCTGTTCATGGCAGTTATTTTCGGGGAATTTCTGAAACAGTTTCAGAAGCAGAACAACAACGAAGTAGTTGTGCATGCTGAAGTAGGATGTAAGAAAATCATTGTTTTTTTTTTTTTTTTTTTTTGGTTTTTTTTTTTTTTTTTCTGGACTTATTTGTTTTTGTTCTATGGTACAGGACCATTTATAGTTCGTTTAGTTGCAATAAAAGTTTAGAGATGAAAGTGAATAAGCAGTGGAAAGCAACATAATTGATGAACATCTGTATTTGTTTTATCATGAAAGTAGCTACAAAATGTAATGCAAATGAAGTGGGATCTGTAGTTTCATTTTCATCTCATATATATGTGATGAAAAAGATTGAAATGAACTGTAAAAACAAGTTCAGAGAACATAATTTTCATTTTATCCTTATCTCTTGTTTTTACTTTCTACACATACAAGTGACTAACATAATTGATTATCAATTATGACTTGCAAAATTAAAGGACATTTAACATAACATAATCGATTATGACTCAATGTGAATTTATGACAAAAAAAATTATAATCGATCATGACAAAAAAACATAATTAATTATAATTAATTGATGTGCTATTATATTTATGTTTCATGGCTTTCACAGAAGAAACTATAATCGATTATGGTTCTATGAAATAAAAAAAAATAAATTCAAATGCATATATTTTTAAAAAAAATTAACATGACATAATTGGTTATGTCATGTCTTTGTATTAAATGAAAAAAAAAACAAGTGTTCACATAATCGATTATATCAATAAAGAAAACTATTTAAAATAAATATTGGTCATTCGATTAATTTAAAAATACTTTATTTTTAAATTTTTTTACCAATCACATTATTTTATTTTAAATTCAACACTTTTAACACAATAATATTGGATATCACAAAAAAAGAAATCATCACTTTAATCTCTTTTCTCCTCTATTTTATCTATACCAAATAATTCTACCTTTCAGTCTATTTTATTTTTCTTTCACCTTTTCATTCCTCTTACTTTTATCATTCTTCTTTCTGCTCATCCGAACACAATATTAATTTATCAAAGTGTATTTACTCTTAATTCCCGAAATCGGTCATCCTACAGGTTTGTAAATCTCAATATGCGTGGAAAACCCTTCTTTGTACCCTTTGGATGAATTTTTAAATTTCATGCTCCAACCAAATGCTATGTAAATCTTATATATATATATAAATTATTTATTTTTTATATTTATTTTAGTCATTTATTTATTAAAATATTTATTTTGATTCTTTATCTTTTATATTTAAATCAATTTGATTATTCTAAAATAAAAATTATTTTTAATTTTGTGACACAATTTTAAATAAATTTTTAACTTATTTAGGTCATGAAACTTATAAGATTAAATTCATCCATATAAAAATCAAGAAATACAATTAGCATTAAGATAAAAAAATGATTATAAATATAATAAAAATTTTATAAAAAAATATATTTCATGAATAATTGAAAAATAGTATAAAATTATATTAATTTTTTTTATCGTGTATATAACACTTTTAGCTTAAATTTTGATTACATTCAAGAATTTTTATATAAGTAATTCTTATAAAATATAAGTTCCAATTCTTAAATCAGTAAGAAAAATGATTCAAAAATGACTAAATAAATCTAAATTTAAAAACTAAAGAATTAAAATAAATATTTTAAAAAATAAAGAATCAAAATAAATTTAAAAATAAGTTAAAAAATTAAAAGTATAATTTGGCGTATATTTTTATTTTATTTATAGTTAACTAGCAGGAAAAAGATACTTCGTGCCTACATTGTATTAAAAGAAAAAAAATAAAAAAAATAAAAAATTATTCATAAAAAAAATAGTTATTAAAAAATAAACAAATAATAAAATGGTTAATGTAAAAATAAAAACAAAAAATAGTTATTAAAAATGATATTTCCTTTATATATTAGTATAAATGAGTCACTAACAAGTATGTCACATTACGTCGCCTCTGGCTTCTATGTTCTCTCTGCATGAAAATTTATTTTAAATTCTCGAACCAAATGTTACGTAATTTTTTTTCTTCATATTTTATTTATATAGTGTCATGTCTTCTCTTGTATAGCAGTGTTAATTAAATAATTAAACAAATTAAAAAGTTTGTTTTTTATTAGTAGAATTATTACGATAGAGATAATTGAATTTAAGTTTGATAGAGATGAAAAGAAATTTTTTATTGAATTGAATGAACCAACAAAACAAGGGGGAGAGATCTCTCCAGCGAGGGTTTCCCCTTCGCAAAGGATTTCTCTTTTCACAAAGAGCACAAGCTCAATCTACAAATACCTTACGCTCGTTGATCGTGATGCTGGACTAATTTCTGAATCATACCTTGCCTGGGAACAACAAGATCAACTTCTACTGTCTTGGTTACAATCCTCCATGTCTAAAGACATGCTAACTCGCGTCATAGGCTGCAAGACTTCCTTTCAACTCTGGGATAAAATACATTCATACTTTCACTCTCACATGAACGCCAAAGCTCGCCAACTCCGCATCGAACTGCGCAATACCAATCTTGAAAATCAGACCATTTCAGATTATGTTCTTCGAATTCAAACCCTCGTGGACGCCTTGACTGCCATTGGTGACTCTATTTCTGTGAAAGAACATCTTGATATCATTCTTGAAGGTCTACCTGAGGAGTATGAGTCCACTGTGTCGCTCTCGCTCATCAGTAGCCGCTTTGACTTACTATCCATAGAAGAAGTCGAAACCTTGCTACTTGGCCATGAATCCCGTCTTGAGAAATTCAAGAAGAAAGCCGTTGCATCTTAATGTGACTATATCTTCATTTGAACCCAACCCTCCTATACCGCACCCACAAGCCAACCTCACTCATCAAGACCTTCGCCCTCAGTTTGCTCACCGCCGTGGGGGACGCACCAACTCTAGGGGTGGTCGCTTCCCAAATCGTGATGGCCGCGGACACGGCAGATACGCTGGCTTTCAATGTCAGGTTTGCCATCGTTATGGGTATGTCGCTTCCTCATGCTACTACAGGTTTGATGAGATCTATGATCCTTCCTCTCCGCTAGAAGCTCCACAATTCATCACTACCAATTCTGGCCCTTGGTATAACACCCAATTTGCTCCAGCTAACTACATTCTGCAATCCTCCCAATCCTCTCATTCTTCACCACACCTATCTGGTATTCTTGGACCCAGACCCCAACCACCCTCACAAATCCACTTTACCTCTACACCTGTTCAACCCCAGGCCATGCTCGCCTCATCTTCTTCCACAGGAAACAGCACCTGGTACCCAGATTCTGGTGCATCCAACCATGTCACCAATGTGTCACAAAACATTCAACAGTTCACCCCCTTTGAAGTACCGGATCAAATTCATGTTGGGAATGGACAAGGTCTTCACATAAATTCCACAGGTGTCACTACGTTTCCCTCTCCGATTAATTCCCAGTTTCATTTTGCTCTAAACAACCTACTTTTTGTCCCCTCCATTACCAAAAATCTAATTAGTGTCAGTCAGTTTTCCAAAGATAACTCTGTATTCTTTCAGTTTCACCCTTCAATTTGCTTGGTCAAATCACAGGCTACTAGAGAAGTCCTGCTTCATGGCACGGTTGGTCCTGATGGCTTATACCAGTTTCCATCCTTGCTCTCCAACACCAAGCTGCAATTGGTCCAGACCCCTGCCACTGCTCATCGGCACTCTGCTCATTCCACCACCAAGGGTTCTGTTTCTTTTGCCACTTAGCACTCCAGATTAGGTCACCCTAATATTGATGTAATGAGACTAGTTTTTCGAAACTGCAACATTCAACCCGTAAATAATACTATACCAGTATTTTGTGATTCATGTTGTCTTGGTAAATCTCAGATTACAATCTGGCCCTTCCTCATCTGTCTACACTGCCCCCTTTGAACTAATAATATTCAGCGATCTATGGGGCCCTGCCTCCGTCACCTCTACATGTGGGTTTCAGTATTATATTACCTTTGTTGATGCATACACGCGCTTTACATGGATTTATCTCCTCAAAAATAAGGCACAAACTATTGGTATCTTCAAACAATTTCATAACATGGTTAAAAATCAATTTCAACTTCCCATTAAAGCCCTACAAACTGATTGGGGAGGAAAGTATCGCCCATTTACTGCATATCTCAACGATGTTGGGATTCAACATCGTCTCATATGCCCACATACACACCATCAAAATGGTGTGGTTGAACGCAAACATAGACACATTGTTGAACTCGGCCTCACCATGTTGGCTGAAGCTAATCTACCCATGCAATTCTGGGACTATGCCTTTCCTACCAGTGTTTACCTAATCAACCGGCTCCCATCCTCCTCCATTCAAAACGAAGTTCCTTATCAAAAACTTTTCAACAAAATTCCCGACTATCACTTTCTTAAAGTCTTTGGATGCTCTTGCTTCCCCCACCTTAGACCTTACAACAGAAACAAACTTCAACTCCGCTCACAAGAATGTCTCTTCTTGGGGTATTCTACCTCTCACAAAGGCTAAGTGTCTTGCTGCTGATGGGCGCCTTTATATCTCTAAAGACGTCATCTTCAATGAAGTTAAATTTCCCTAGAAGACTCTCTTCTCTCCGTCCCCAATCCATGCTTCTCAAGATACTGTTGCAATTCCCCTTATAGTGACCAACCCTCCCACTATCACTTTGTTCCCCTCTTCATCCACTCAACCCCATGAATCAGCCTCAATTCCCACTCATACATCATCGTCCAATGTGGCTTCTGAGTCTTACACACCTGTAACCCCACCTAATTTTCCAAACACCACGCCCAGTCCGTCTCCCGACACCCTGTCTTTTCCTACCTCATCTTCTGAGTCTGAATCACAACCTAATATTCATCCTCACAACACTCATCCTATGGTCACAAGAGCCAAAGACGGCATTGTTAAACCACGCCTTCAACCAACGCTTTTACTCACCCGTACTGAACCCAAAACCACTCGACAGGCCTTGTCTGATTCCACCTGGTTCGCAGCTATGCAAGCAGAACATAATACTCTGCTTCACAATGGCACCTGGTCCCTTGTTCCTTTGCCACCAAATAGAACTCCCATAGGCTGCAAATGGGTCTTTCGAGTCAAGGAAAACCTTGATGCCACTGTCCATAAGTACAAAGCCCGCCTTGTAGCCAAAGGCTTTCATCAACAATTTGGCTACGACTATAATGAAACCTTCTCACCTGTCATCAAACCTGTAACTGTTAGGCTCATTCTTACACTTGTGTTGACTCATCGCTGGCCTCTCAAACAACTAGATGTCAACAATGCCTTTTTAAATGGTACTCTTGCCGAGGAGGTGTATATGACTCAACCTACGGGATTTGAATCTTCTGACAAGACTCTAGTTT